ATGGCAGTAAAATACACAAGGTTACATTTATGACATAAAATACAGACATGCAACATATCCCCAGATAGCTTAGGTCTGAGCGCACATTTTTACTGAATGACGCTCAGACCATACACATACAGTTCAATTGCCATGGAGCCAAAGTCTTTTATTACACGAATAGGCTCCCTTGCATAGCTATCTGGGTTAAATGAGTTCATTCAGTAAATCCAAGAATCTACCGAACGCCAGGGCAGAAATACAGGAATAGATCTTTCTGCATAGGGAAATAAAGTATTTAAATGCCAGTCCATAGTCAAAAGGCAGCAGGCAGGCAACCAGGCTCCTCCAATGCACAGTGGCGAGATTGGTCTCGTCACATACGGTATATACGGCTTAATGTATAATATACAGCTTAATGTGCGGTATACTGCTAAATGTATAATATACAGCTTAATGTGCGGTATACTGCTAAATGTATAATATACAGCTTAATGTGCTGTGTACTGCTTAATGTATAATATACAGCTTAAAGGACCACTATAGGCACCCAGACCACTTCAGGTCAATGATGTGGGTGTCCATCTAGGGTTAACCCTGCAGCTGTAAACATAGCAGTTTCAGAGAATTTTCACAGTGAAAAGACGCCAGCGTCCATAGGAAAGCATTGAAAATACTTTCCTATGGACTGGCTGAATGAGCGCGCGGCTCGACGGAGAATCCCCAGTGCCGAGGGAGCCCGGCACTGGAGAAAGGTACGTTTTTAACACCTTCCTCCCACTTCAGGCCGGCGGGAGGGGGGCCATGAGGGTGGGGGCACCTATTAACTAGCACCATAGTGGGCCTTTAATGTGCGGTATACAGCTTATTGTACAATATACAGCTTAATGTACGGTGTAGTGGTTCTGGTGTCTATAGCCTGTACAAAATATAGACAAAGAAAAAAATTAGACCTGTGCTGCAGATACGCCACACTGAAGTCCCAACAGTTTATATACAACCAAAAAACAAACACGAGTCCTGCGCATCCAGTATAGGTGTGCACACCCAGGTGCTACCACAATTTATTCCAGTAAGGTGTGCACACCCAGGTGCTACCACAATTTATTTGAGGACAAAATTAAACAGCAACTACTGTCCCTGTAGCATTTTCAATGTAAACACTGTTTTTTCAGATATAAGGCAATGTTTACATTGATGCCTCGTAAGACCTCTAGTGACAATCACTCAGATCGCTACTAGAGGTGCTTCTTAGTCCTATGTTGAGTGTCTCCATGCTATACAAATAGGCACTGAATTTTCCCCATAGAGATGCAATAATTCAACACATCTCTCTGAGGAGATGCTGATTGGCGCAACACAGCATTTTGGCGCGCATGCGCAATATCCTCCCAGTGCTTTACAAAGTATTGGCTTGGCTGAGATCATCAAGACTGATGATCTCAGCCATGGAGGTGGAGCCAGCCATGGCGAGACACGCACAGAGAGGTAGAAAAAACACCTTTCCCATGCGATCAGAGGGGAGGCGGTCACCCAAACAGACACACTCACTGACAGTCAGACAGACAGACACAGAAAAACACTCAGAAAGTGTCACTGACTGACTGACATACAGATACACACACTCACTGACACACACACTCACAAATTATTATTCATTTTTAATTTTAGGTCCACCCAGCCTCCCTACCTTGGGAGATCTGGAGTTGATCCTTTCCCTGGGGTCTAGTGTGGCTGCTGAAATCTTCTGATTCTTCTTGCACTCCGTTTAGTGATGCTGTGGCTGGCATGACATCATACCCCGGCATCACAGCAGGGTGCGCGAGGGAGCAGAGCAGGAAGAGCCGGAAGAGTTCAGCTCCCTCTTGCCCGGCCCCACTCTCGCTCGACCGCCTGCCTCAACTGTCGCTCAGCCGGCTGGCTCATGGTGACCTGGTGCCTGCGCTAAGCACCTTGCACTCACTATCTGCTCTGAGACTGCCTTAGAATGGCAGTGATTTGTAAACATCTGTAAATTCTCAGTCTGTGTTCTTTGTGCACTGCTTGGACTGATCCCTCTCTCCTTCCTGGCAATGTATGGCCGCCATCATCTTATTGAAGAGCTCGATTCAATGTGCTGTCAGATCATCTACATATTTTTACATTGACAGGAATGTATGATATAAGATGAGACCCAAAGGAGATTGAGGAGAGCCTAAAGCAGCAATTAGCTGTGTTTCAGCATCTTTGATTATCATGCGGTATCTATCGAATACATTTAAAATAAGGTGTAATGTACACTCTGATTCCATTTAACGCAGATGTCGTTTCTGGTGTAATGAGTGTCCCCTCTAGATTTGGTCCACATGGTTTGTGGGGTGGGGGCTTGGTGGGTCTCTCAGCCTCTGTTCTGACATTTCACCTGCTCTTACATTGCAGATTACAGTCTGGGTAGTTTGAGCAGTTGGGATATATTGTAGTATTAAACTTTGTATTGTAATACCTTTTCAGGTTGCGGTATTGCTGTCACGCACAGTGGGACACACCCAGCGACTTGTCCTTTGTGGCACAGTGACTGTGCTGCATATGTTGTTCCTGCTTTACCTGCACTTTGCATATCACAAGGTGGTGGAAGGTATTGACCTGGGTCTCTGTGTGTCTGGCTGTTCGTGGATTATGTCTGTCTGACCTGGATCTCTGTGTGTCTGGCTGTTCGTGGTTTATGTCTGTCTGACCTGGGTCTCTGTGTGTCTGGCTGTTCGTGGTTTATGTCTGTCCGACCTGGGTCTCTGTGTGTCTGGCTGTTCGTGGTTTATGTCTGTCTGACCTGGGTCTCTGTGTGTCTGGCTGTTCATGGTTTATGTCTGTCCGACCTGGGTCTCTGTGTGTCTGGCTGTTCGTGGTTTATGTCTGTCTGACCTGGGTCTCTGTGTGTCTGGCTGTTCATGGTTTATGTCTGTCTGACCTGGGTCTCTGTGTGTCTGGCTGTTCATGGTTTATGTCTGTCCGACCTGGGTCTCTGTGTGTCTGGCTGTTCGTGGTTTATGTCTGTCCGACCTGGGTCTCTGTGTGTCTGGCTGTTCATGGTTTGTCTGTCTTACCTGGGTCTCTGTGTGTCTGGCTGTTCATGGTTTATGTCTGTCTGACCTGGGTCTCTGTGTGTCTGGCTGTTCATGGTTTATGTCTGTCTGACCTGGGTCTCTGTTGCATCGTGCATAGACTAAACTTTCTTTCTTCTGGCCTAGGAATCCTTGACACCCTGGACGGCCCGAATATCCCTCCACCATTCCAGCGAGTAGCTCGTGATCTGTCCCTGGGAACAAACGCTGTACTCAATGTCACAGCACAGATCCTATCCTCATAGTACTGCTGATTCCAGGCAACATGCCTGCACCACGATCATGTCTTCTGCACCAGGACACACAGCCTGACCTTCCACAGCCCCAACTGCCCAAAGGTGGACATTGAGGCCGTATGGCAGCCATTCGAAAAAGTTTCATAAGGGGTTAAAGGGTTAAACAGAGATGGCTTTTTAATCTCCTTAAGGCAGTACAGAGGTTACAGCATAGACTTTTTTTCTATAAAAGCAATGTAACTTTATTTATCTGACATCAAGCTTGAGTGTGGAGTGTTGCTTTCTCAAAATCCTCTCAGTGCAGCCTCTGTGTATACTTCACATAGCTAGTGTATATCAGTTCTAGGTATGACTCTATGTAGCTATACACTAGCTATACTTCCTATATTTAGTGTATATTAGTTCTAGGTATGACTCATTTGATGATACTACTCTGTCTGTAATGCTCCCACACACCGATAACATGATGACGCATTACCAGGCTGTACCATGACACACTGTATGTAACACACCCTCCCACCCCCCACCCCCCGATATGACACACTGTATGTAACACCCCCATCCGATATGACCCATAACCGGTCCGTACTTTGACACAGTGTAACGCCCCCTTCCCCCTCTCTCGATATGACCCATAAACAGACCGTACTGTGACACAGTGTATGTAACACCCCCTCCCCATATGACCCATAACACCCCCTATAACAGTCCGTACTGTGACACAGTGTATGTAACACCCCCTCCCCATATGACCCATAACACCCCCTATAACAGTCCGTACTGTGACAATAGTCTATTGTTAGGGGCCTTTCCAATTGACATAGTTATAGAATACATTGAAAAACAGCAAGATTTCTCTAAGTAATAAACTACAACAAATTCTGTAAGTGTGGCTCTTTTTTTAATAAAAAAAAATATATATATTGTGGTGAACATTCCTGTTCCACGAATGTACGCATTCCCTTCCTGAAGATATACACATCCACCCTGCTGTAGGCATCAATCACATCTATATCATCAGTAAAACGTCATTCCCGATCAATAACCTCTAGATCGTCAATAAAACATCATTCCCGATCAATAACCTCTAGATCGTCAATAAAACATCATTCCCGATCAATAACCTCTAGATCGTCAATAAAACGTCATTCCCGATCAATAACCTCTAGATCGTCAGTAAAACCTCGTTCCCGATCAATAACCTCTACAGTCATGGGGAAAAAAAGGTAGACCCTCTTTGGATTCTATGGTTTTACATATCAGGACATAATAATCTGTTCCTTAGCAGGTCGTAAAATGAGGTAAATAAAGCACATGGCATATTACACCGTATCACGATTAAACAAAAATAAAGCCAAAATGGAGATCCCATGTGTGAGAAACAAAGTACACCCTGACTGCTTCCACATGAATTAAGAGGCTTAGTAGCAGAGAAGTTCTGCTAATCAAATACCTTTATTAATGGATCATCAGCCGGTGTGACCACCTCTATAAAAGCCGATGTTTTAGCCGTTTGCTGGTTTGTCGCATTCAGGTGTGTTAACGCAATGCCAAGGGGGAAAGACCTCCGCAATGATCTTAGAGAAGCAATTGTTACTGCCCAGCAAACCATTTCCAAACAATTTAAAGTCCATCATTGTACCTTGAGAAAGATTATTCAAAACTGGAAAACATTCAAGACCGTAGCCAATCTTCCCAGGGGTGTATGGTCAGACCGTTCTCAGAGAATTTGCAAAAACCCAAAGAGTTACATCTCTACGGCCTCTGTTATCATGTTAACGTTCATGGCCGGACAATTAGAATGTAGTTCTGGTATTTTATCCCCTGAAGTGTTTAGATTGCTGCCTAGTAGCACTAGAGGTGCTTCCTGGGTTAGTGCTGCATGTGCAGTAGCCTCCCAATGCTTTCCTATATGTTTGTATCCTGACACTATAGTGAAATAAAGAATGTGACGGCAGATAAGAACCATTCGTCCCATCTAGTCTGCCCAGTTTTCTAAATACTTTCATTAGTCCCTAGTCTTATCTTATAGTTAGGATAGCCTTATGCCTATCCCACGCATGCTTAAACTCCTTTACTGTGTTAACCTCTACCACTTCAGCTGGAAGGCTATTCCATGCATCCACTACCCTCTCAGTAAAGTAATACTTCCTGAAAAAAAAATGTTCCTTTAAATCCATGTTTGTTTCACAATTGTAACACTGTTTTAATTGTAACACGTGATACTAAAGAAGTTAAGCAAACTACAAAACTGGTATTTAATTTATAGCGTTACAATGACTCCTGTCAAGGGTTTGGATATATTACGCAGCAAGTGAACAGTCAGTTCTAAAATTTCATGTGCTGAACGCAGGAAAAAACATTTTTATTTAGGGCCCTCACCCACCACTAAGGGGTGGGGGCAGGGACAATAGGTCCCCCCCTTATTCTACTTTAAGGCCACCACCCGCCGCTCAGGGGTGGTGGTCGGGGGGGGGAGGACAATAGATCTCCCCCCTATTCTGATTTAGGGCAACCACCTGCCACTCAGGATTGGGGGCCGGGGGGGAGAACAATAAGTGTCCCCTTTTTATTTTACATTAGGGCCCCCACCCACCGCTCAGTAGAATAGGTCCCCCCTTATTCTACTTTAAGGCTTCCACCCGCCGCTCAGGGTTGGGGGCCAGGGGGAGGACAATAGGTCCCCCCCATTTTTTTACTTTAGGGCCCCCACCCACCTCTAAGAGGTGGGGGGTGGGTGGGAGGACAATAGATCCCCCCCCCCTTATTCTACTGTAGGGTCCCCACCCACCGCTCAGAGGTGGGGTTCTGGGGGCAGGACAATAGGTTCCCCCCCCCCCCATTTTTCTGATTTAGGGCTCCCATCCGCCGCTCAGGGGTGGGGGCCGAAGGGACACGATAGGTTCCCCCCATTGTCATCCAGGGCCCCGACCCGCCACTTGGGGGGGCAATAGTGTAACGGACCACCTGGCACCCCGACTGGGTACCTCCGTTGAAGGATGCTCCTAGCGCTTACAGAGGGCTCCAAGCACTCCAGCAGACACCACAACCACCGCAGACCCCACGAACCGCCGCAGATTGGTTGGTGTCTCGCCGTCTCCTACCCACCCTGGGTAGGATGAACCTCTCCTCCAAGAGAGTGAAGCTGGAACAAGCTCTTACAAGAGCTTAGAAGTGATTATCCAAGGGAGCATGCAGAGCATAGCAATCCCCTGTAGTGATATAGCAATTCCCCCAATAAGAGACAGGACTCTAGATTAAGGGTGAAGAAGAACTCTGGTTTAATGACACACACTCTGCTTTTATGCAATTCTCTCATGCAAGAGAGACGCCCACAGACAATTATACAATACCCAATCACACAATGGTTACATCCCACACATCTCCTCCCCTCAGCCTGAGAGGTAATGTTCTAGATAATTTACTGCAAACCAATTAGTTTGAATGACTATCTGTTCCTGTCCAAATTAAAGATAATAAAGTTGCGTGCACGCAGAAGTAAATTCACACTGAGACACATGGTTCAGGGTAATGAAAGAACTTCAGAGAAGTTTAATGGCTTCTGACAGAAAATGGGTGCGCAGACCCTTATAAAGGCATTATTACATCATTGAAGAAAATCAAGATATAGACAAATAGACATTGTTAATTGGCTTAGGTGCTAAGATGTTAGTAAAATGCCCTCCCCATTCTTAGGTCACTATCTACGTAATTTCTTAACTCCTACAGGTTTTAGCGCCATCTTGCTAAAATGAGGAGCTCACTCGACGGGAGGGGCCTTTTGGCAGCTATCCATTTGGAGCGTAGCTGGCACTTGTTAGTTTCTCAAGGTTAAGTTTCAAGGATTTTAGTAAATACACATTTTATCAAAGCTATTTCTTGCTGACATGCAAATTCTATGTTCTATAGACAAAGCTTCCTTGTAAAACTATGGGGGCCTCTTAGAGGTATAGCAAGAGGATTTAAAGGGGCCTTACAAATTTATAGAGGCCTAATAATTCTACAACAGTCCCCCCTAAAATGTTATTTGCTAAAAGACAAAACTTTATTTGTTAGTATCAGAAGAAGTATTAGCCCAAAGACACAGAAACCCCATGACCGCTGACTTAGTGTTAATGCAAAGTGCAAGTCTATCCCTCTCTTGACCCTAACAGGCTGCAGCACATCCGTCAGTACGGTTCAGGAACACTCTTCACTCCGCTGGTAACCCATAGTGGCTTATCCACTACTTCTCCGTACGGCAGTCTACCCATAAAGACGGACGCTGTCCCTGTACTGTCCCTTCCTAGACTTTCTGCACTTCATCAGTATAAGGGAGAGTTTGTAGCGGAATACAGGGTGAGATGAGGTCTTGATCATCGATTGTCAGATGAGTGAAGGTTGGTGTTGCTTGGTCTACAGTTTTCTGCAGGAATTTCCTTAGGCATGGGAGGACACAACAAATGAGAAGAGCGAGAATAAAAAGAAAAATTAGTAAGGCAATACCAATCTGGACTAAAGCTCTCTGCCAACCAGTCATCCAACCAAACCATTTTTCCCAGGGATCAGTAACTCCAGAGTTTCTCTTTAACTCTTCTGAGAGTCTATTTAATTTAGCTATGGCTAGAGTGACTTTACCATTAGGACCTGTGTTTTCTGGAATGTAAGTGCAACAAGTCATAGTGTCGGGAAGTATTTTACAGACTCCCCCTTTTTCGGCTAAGATCATGTCTAAGGCCAGTCTGTTCTGGAAGGTCATTTGGGATGTGGCCTGTAATTGCTCGGCCAAGCCCTGGAGGGCATCCCTGGTGTAGTTCACGAAGCGCTGTTGGTTGTAATAGATATAATTAATCCAATTAAGGTTTTTGTTGGCAGTGACTATGGTAAAAAGTGATTCAAAACCTGCAGCTACTTCATCTCTAGCTTTAAATTCATTAGGTACCCCCCTAGGCACCCCAATGGCATCTATGTAAATGTGGGGGTCAAAACTGCCTTTTACTGGGGTTTCGCTCCTCACTCTGGCTGATGTATGTGGAGGGTCGTATGTGTCATGATGATTATCAGAAATAATATGAATGGGCATGATAACTTTGGCCAGGGTACACTCACCCCACCACTCAGTTTCCAGCCTAGATCTTAACTGTAGATCCCCACATAACCAGTAAATATCCCCCAATGACCTGGTATGGTGTTGCAACAGGCGTATAGGAACAGTTCTGTAAGTGGCGCAATAACCTTTAGAAAAATTACCCATGAATTTACCAATCCCGTCATACATGGCATAACAAGTGTAATTACCTCTATAGACTGTGATTCCATCTGGTGGCTTAACATTTTCAACTAAGAGAGGGTATTCTGCCGTCCATGCCATGCAGAGGGACCTATTAAAGTCATATTGGGAGGCAAAAAGGCTTAAGAAGCAATCTTCTATCTCTAAAGGGAGAGTTAGGGGGACGGTGCCAAGGTGGGGTCGGGCACCGCCACATACATAACATGCTGTTTTATTATGTTTGTTAGCATTATACCTCATCCATTCTAACCACAAATTAATGTCATTGAATCCAGTTTCAGCGGCCATGGTATCTTCAAAAGTGGGGTTAGCGATGGCCATCATATCTTTAAAGGACTAGATATGTGGTTTTAGCGGATTTGGGACCATATGATCAGCCCCTTGCCACTCTGGAGAGTGGGACATATCTCTGAGGTAGAAATGACCTAATTTGTTGTAGGAACCTTTCTTCCAATACATTCCCATTACATATCGGTCTGCATCCTCGGGGCCAGGATGTTCAATATTTAACATTAATTTCATAGGGGTACTTCCTCCAGGCTTTCTTAAAGTCATTCTTTGAAGGAGGGATCTACCCTGATTGTCTATCTTAGATAAAGCACTTTTGGGTTTATAACCCCAGGCAGGCCCAGTATTCCATCCCGCAGCCCCCCAGTAGTTACAGTCATAACCCCATTGTTCATCTACTACACAAACGTAAGGGTCTTTTGCTTGTGGTATATCTTTATAAATGGCTTGAATCTGTGACTTAGGGAATGGGCACTCTACAATATCACAGTAATCAAAAGTGAATGTAGCCACATGGGTACATGATGAATTATACCAGAAAGTGTACCCACTAGCATCTTTGGTGATGGCCACCTGCTGGGCTTTAAGGAGGCCAACTAAGGAGATAATGTACCAGAGGCACATGGTTGCATAGAGTTAGCTTCCTCTGGGGCAGGTGTCTTCTTGCAGTGGGAAGCGTGGATCCAGTTAGGCCTTCCGGCCAATTTGACAGAGGTAGGGGAGATCAGGAGAACTTGGAACGGTCCGTCAAATCTTGGTTCCAGGGTGTGTTTTCGCACAAATTTCTTGACCAGAACCCAGTCACCGGGGAGCAGACTGTGGTTGCCTGTGTCAGAATCAGGATCTGGAATTTTAGAGAAAACTTGGGCATGGATTTTGTTCAAAGCATTTGCGAGTTCAGTTACATAATCTACTAAAACATCAGTTTGAAGTTGTAGTTGTTGGGGAAAATAGCAACCTAGCCTAGGTGCAGTCCCAAATAGAATCTCATATGGGGACAGTGAGGTAGTATTTTTGTACAAGAGCATTCATTAGATCCTTTGATAAATGTGCAGGTCTGTGTGCCCATTGTACGACTGCTGGGTACAAATTCTTAGGGAGGCAGAAATTGAGGTTGTTGGAGTACACTCCATCCTTCAGAACTGCCCCTTTCTGTTTCCACTTCTGTATTTCTTCAGGGGCAACTGTAGCCTGTTGTTCCAGCAGGATTTTCAGGTCAGTTGGAAGAGTCTGCAGAGTAAATATGGGAGTTTCTTCATTTCCGGACACTCTTCTTTCCACTTCCTGTGGTTCTTTTGCAGCTTGTTTTGCAGCCTGATCAGCTAGATGGTTGCCCTTTGCTTCATCTGAGTCCAACTTCCCATGTGCTTTTATCTTCAAAATGGCCACTTCTTCT